ACTTGAAGGGTGACGATGATATCGATCCAGTTAACGAATAAACTGATAGCTAGCTCATGAGAATGACCTCCGAATAACTCCTCCATCAAGTTCAAGTATAGCTAATTTTGGTTTCAGTTCTAACAATCGTTAAGTTGGAAAATATATAATGGATGCTGACCTGCATGCAAATTCTGCTTATCAGAAAATATTACAGGTGGTCCTGCTTACTCCATTTCCATTTCCATTTCCATTTCCATGCATGCATTATTTCTATCCTTTATGTTGAGTTCTGACTGTGCAGTGGCCCTCTAGATCTTTAGATTTTGATTTGATTGTCAACAGTATTGGGAGAGAGGAAAGTTGTAAGGATAAGTTTTAAACAAAAATAATAAGAAGAAGAAGCACATGGTTAATTGAATAAACTAAAAAGTTTTATCATAATAACATCCACAAACCCTACTTGCTTCAAATTGCTTAGAACAGAAACAAATTAGTGGCCATTACCCTAATTATACAATCTTTGCCCAATAAACTTTCTTATTCATCAAGCACAGGCGCCACTGAAACTCTTTATTATAAGCTTACACAGTTGACTTTGAGCCATGAATAATTGAGTTTCTAGCTAATTTAGCCATTAATTTCGATACTGTCTCTTGTTTAATCATAGCTCAACTGCGGCTTCAAATGGCGAATTGGCAGTGGCATTAATTCTCAACTTGAGGATTCACCACAAGATGGACTTATTGGTGAGAAGGTGCATTTTAATTGATTAGATTAACAATACCTTTACACACATTATTGGAGGCAATTTTTTCATGCTTCATTAAATTATTCAAGTCAAATCTGCATTTACAAAACCGGTGGAAGAGTGGGGTGGGACTTGGGAGTAGGTGAATGTAAATCCGATTGTTCATTTTGAATCCTACAAAAAGCTCTTAAACTTTATATACAATAAAATTATATAGAAATATAAAAATGAAAAAAGATGAAGGTTATTAAATTATTTTTTAAGTTTAATATTGCTTTCAACTTTATTAACGAGCATTTTGTTCGGACTAAAAAAAATAGAAAATCTTAAATAGAAAAAAAAAATACTCATATGTTTGTTTTACACATGTTACATATTCCCCTGATCATATATATAGTTCAGAAAAATACAACAGTTGTCCGAGTTTTCCACTTATTGGTGAAAGAATTAAAGAGCGTTTGGAATCAAATAAATAAATAACCACATACACAAATATAGAAAGAAAACAAGTGCGGTTTATCCTAGTTTCCCCAAATCTAGACTATGTTTAATAGATCCTAGTTTACCCAAATCTGGACTATGTTTAATAGAGTCAATATTCTTGAAATATTTCCTCATCTCTTTCGTTACAATGTATGTATTTGCTATGTTTTGCTACCACTCATATAAGAGAATACTGCCTTTATATACTAGGTTAGGAGAAAAAACCTAATACAACTATGATTCTTATTTCTAAGCCCAAGAGCTGTGACCCAAAGCAAGACCCCCACGTGAGTCGAGTAGGCTAGCTGTGACCCAGAGCAGGACCCCCACTTGCATCAAGTAGGCTAGCTATGACCCAGAGCTACTACCTCTATTATTGAAGTGGTCGTCAACTCCAACAATTGGCACTGAATTTTCCACCAACTAAAACTAGAAATTAAATATAAATAAATCATCATATTAACAGGGAGTGGCTAGAAAAAACCCTAACCACATATGTTGGAGGAATTTTTTGAAATTATAACGTGGCTAGCTATACATTAAATTAAAAAAATATATATATGTGCTAAACTATTGCAATTGGAATTGAGCTAAGCATGAATTGTTTAATCTCCTGTTAAATCGCATAATCATGTTTTGTCCGGTAATTGGCTACTGGTTTAATTATGTGTTTGAGAAAATGCCCCATTTACTTCTGATATGATGATTGCTTTTGCTAGTGTATCACTTGGTGACATTGCCTTAGCTTAACTAAACTCCAGTGCCCTTAGTAAATATAATTTGGGTATAATTCACGTGGTATATACTGTATTAATTCTTTATGATTAAATCATCTTTCTGGATAAAATTTTGTCAACCATTGTTCAGCTTAGGAATTCCCAAAAGTCAAAAAAAAGATCAGTTTAAAAATTAGGGGAAAAGTAATCCCACTTTGGAAATAAGATAAAATATACATATACGACATATAGAAAAAGCTTTCAAATGTTTCGGAGAAACTTGTCGTTTAGATTAGTTAAAAAAATAGGGGAAAAATCCCACTTTTCCTGAATGATATCAATACTTCCATAGAAATTAAGAGAATTATCCAACATAATCATAATCTTTAAAAGTAAACTCAAGTAGATGATATTATAATTATAATTAGCTCTTTTAAGTGTTTTCTTCTCAGTTCATGGTCAATCAATTTCAGCATTGCCCACCTTACGATAGTTCTTTCACTGTTTATTGTATCACTTATCATAAAAATACCGTCAAAATATAATTAATATAAAATATGTTTTCACATACTGCATATACCACTCAAAACCTTNAGTGGCTAGAAAAAACCCTAACCACATATGTTGGAGGAATTTTTTGAAATTATAACGTGGCTAGCTATACATTAAATTAAAAAAATATATATATGTGCTAAACTATTGCAATTGGAATTGAGCTAAGCATGAATTGTTTAATCTCCTGTTAAATCGCATAATCATGTTTTGTCCAGTAATTGGCTACTGGTTTAATTATGTGTTTGAGAAAATGCCCCATTTACTTCTGATATGATGATTGCTTTTGCTAGTGTATCACTTGGTGACATTGCCTTAGCTTAACTAAACTCCAGTGCCCTTAGTAAATATAATTTGGGTATAATTCACGTGGTATATACTGTATTAATTCTTTATGATTAAATCATCTTTCTGGATAAAATTTTGTCAACCGTTGTTCAGGTTAGGAATTCCCAAAAGTCAAAAAAAAGATCAGTTTAAAAATTAGGGGAAAAGTAATCCCACTTTCGAAATAAGATAAAATATACATATACGACATATAGAAAAAGCTTTCAAATGTTTCGGAGAAACTTGTCCTTTCGATTAGTTAAAAAAAATAGGGGAAAAATCCCACTTTTCCTGAATGATATCAATACTTCCATAGAAATTAAGAGAATTATCCAACATAATCATAATCTTTAAAAGTAAACTCAAGTAGATGATAATATAATTATAATTAGCTCTTTTAATTGTTTTCTTCTCAGTTCATGGTCAATCAATTTCAGCATTGCCCACCTTACGATAGTTCTTTCACTGTTTATTGTATCACTTATCATAAAAATACCGTCAAAATATAATTAATATAAAATATGTTTTCACATACTGCATATACCACTCAAAACCTTGGTCTAGGAAAAGAGGATATTATTGTGAAAACTCGGTTTAAACTTAAGCAAGATACTTGAACAAACTTATTATGAAAAATGGAGAAATTTATTATAGACTTTCTCTGCAGAATTTTTTATTAATTAGTTACGTTAACCAATTATAAAACTTGAAAAAAGTTTGATTAATCCCGTAAAAATCTGTGATACAGAAGTCGTTTGGAGAGAACAGAAGCAGAATATTTGCGTAAAATATTGACAAACAAACAGCTTTCAGCAATATTTGACCACAATAAATATCATGGTACACAGGCAATATTTGACCATCCAATATTTCATTTGTATCCTGTGTTTGGTGGAAGAGTAATGTTATATGCACTAATCAAATTATACTAATTCAAGTATTAATAATTAAAATTTTAAAATTCCTTTTTTTTTTTAATTTTTGGGGGAACTGACGTGACAATAAGAGAGATTTATCACGTCAATTAATACTTAGATTATATAATTTTTGGTTAGTACACGTAACATTATCGTTTATAGTATCTTATGTATATAATTGATGGGATTTCTGAATTTTTTTAGTCTGGTCCATTTATGCTAAAGGCTAGAAGCATAGTATAATAGACCTCTTTTATGACTTTAATTTGGTCCCATTTGGAAATAAAGAATGAGTGTATTTGGCATGGATGCCATTCCCATAATTTTCCCTCCCCGCATATCTTACAATATTTTTCTTTCATATCTTTGGACTTTGATAAAGTCATCTTATATTCGCCCGGTTTTCATGTTAATCACATGTTCATCTATAAAATTTATCAAACTTTAATATTAATGTTTTAACTTTTATTTTAAAATTAAACTTTTATAGGTAATAAATTGAGTTAACGACTTTTTCCACCCTAATAACGACTTAATGACATTTTTCCACCTACGAACTTTTAAAATACTATTTTATTACCTAAATTTATATTTCGACAGTAAACAAAGAGCAAACTTGATCCAAGCTATTGGAGTTTTTGAAGAGGGGAAGCCGATGAGTCTTTTGGTGGTTAGAATTAATCGAAATTTGACTTTGGAAAAGCAGTTGCTTAAACCTTAATCAATCGATTGTCAACGATTGACGAGGTCAACAGGAATAGGGTTTGAGGGGTTTTGATGTGTGATGATCGGGGAAGAGAATGGTGGTGATATGGAGTCGCAAAGATACTGGAATCAGAAACGGAATATAAATTTATATAATAAAATGGTATTTTAAAAGTTTGTGGGTGATAAGAAAGTATTATAAGTCATTATTTGAGTGGAAAAAAGTTTTGTTTACTCGTAACGAATTACTTGACATATTTGCCTTTATGTATAATCCAATCCACATCTCATCTGTCACATAATTATTATTTAGACCTTAATCAGGTTCATTAAATCTAATTATTTAGGTAAATAGATAGCAAGAAAATAAATATCAACACATATATATAAAACATGATTTTAAGTTTATAATTAATAGAGCTGCCCACTTTTTTCCCAATTTCCTTTTTTTTTTTTTTTTGTTCATTATTTTTCTTTGGAAGTATTCAAAACCAAAACTCAATGAGTCAAGAAAGTAACCCCACTATCTTCCCTCTATATATACAAGGTCCAAACCAAGCAAATCTTACCTCCAACTAATACCATTTCTACTATAACTTTGGATATCTTCGTAGTGTTTTCTCTGTGTTCTTCCGCTACTAGTGTTTTCTACATAGAAAGTGATAATATTTTCGTAATAACCAGCACAAAATGGAGCCGAAAAGGGGAGCTTTAGAAGTTGGAGATGTTGATGAAGAGAAATGGGTTTATGATTCTTCTGTGGATCACAAAGGACGGGTTCCTCTTCGAGCTTCAACTGGTGTTTGGAAAGCCTCCCTCTTTATTATCGGTAAGGAATAAAATAAAGACTAATATGACATAACGCATAAGTAGTTGATTCTTTCGTCTTGCTAGAAAATTAAATGAACTAGTCGTGATTTCAAATTTTCTTTTGCTTATCTTCTTGGAAATAACGGCTGTTTTTCAGCTTTTTCTTTCTCTTCTGAATGCATATTATCATGCTATTTTCTTTCTGCAACACCACATATCCTAACTTCTCATCTTTGTTCTTATTCAACACACCAAAAAGCTTACCGTACATCAAGTTTATGATATCATCTACATGCTAATACAGTATTTTTTTTCTCTTTCATCAACTTTAACGACCAATATGTTTCCATTATTTTGTTAGTTCGACGCATGAATTAGTGACAAGTCAATGTATTAGCAGACCATCTCACTAACACAAGTTATCGTTGTTGGAAGTGTCAAAGTATGTATGTCAATAGCTGAATAATTTGAGGTAGTGGGTCATTAACTTTTTCTCCACCCACAAACAAAACAAAACCAAATAAAGGGCCCAGAAACCTATTTCAGATATATACCACCTGCTTTTATTTACTACTTTCGTTGCCCTGCTTCTGTCAGAGACCTGTGATTTCTATATTCTATATCTGCAGAGTTGCCTTTAAGATATAATAATAATTATAAGGGTAATATCTGAGATTTGCCATGTGAGTCTTTGAAAATTTTCTATGAATTTCGGTTGAAAAAGATTAGCCATACGTTAGTACATGGTATTAATTTAGTAGATTTAGTCATGCACCAAGTGGCAACGTGGGGGGGCCATTACAGCACATATTTTTCTAAGTGCTGCTCAGTCCCTTAAAAAAAATGGCTATCTTATTCCGCAGAAAGTAACAAAATCTATCAAGGGTATGAATAAGTTCACAATGACAGAATAAATGAAGGCCACTAATGTTGACTTTGTAAGGGAGTACATTAAGTGTAAGTTGCACAGATTATTCACTATCTTCTTGAATAGAACAATTTTTCGTTTTCCTTGAGAGCTACAATTACAAATCATTGTCAAGAATATATAACAAAGTACATTTTAAGAGACAAGGGTTTCTTGACTATCCAGAAAACATCAAAAATATCGTCAATGTCAAATAAATTAAATGAAAATTCATTGTAACTCTTGAATTTTGCAACTGATAAATCCTTTTTGAACGTGATGGGGAAAAAGTTTTGCAGGACCTTTACTACCATAAGTTATTTTCTTCTTTACATGAACAGTTCTGTGACAAAGAGAAGACCTTTGGTAGTATGACCCTACAACTTTAATTTCCTAAGGCAAATTGTGTATCTCCTGTGGCTGCACTACTTTAATTCCTAGGTCCAGATTTATTTTTTTTCCTTTTCTATAGACACATAAAAAATATGCCTATTTTAATATACCCACAAGTTTCATTTAAAGACATAAATTTGATTCAATCTTTGTATTAAAAACTTATTAATTTTTAGTTCATTTGTACAATATTGCATATTCAGTTTAATATGTCTTTATTACAGGCGTTGAGAGGATTTGTTTATCTTCTGATTATCTATTAATATTGTTGGGCAGCAATTGAGTTCAGTGAGAGGCTGAGTTACTTTGGGATAGCAACAAGCCTGATAATCTACCTGACCAAAGTGATCCATCAAGACCTCAAGACAGCAGCAAGGAATGTGAACTATTGGTCTGGTGTGACAACTCTTATGCCACTGCTTGGAGGATTTGTAGCCGATGCTTACTTGGGCCGATTCTCAACTGTCCTTGTTGCATCCGTCATTTACCTCTTGGTGATTTGCTACACACTAATCTCAAATGAATCCATTCTATGTGTTACTTGCTTCATCCAAATAAACTTGACCCATATGTTAACTAAAACTGGACATATATACAGAGAAAATGTTGTTGAAATATCTTGAAAAAGTTACACCACTTTCGATTTGATGAGTACTTTTCTGTAGAAAAATTTTGTTTTCTCAGTTAATTGGAATACGCTAACAATGGTCTTTTCATCTGTAAAAACAGGGTTTGCTTCTGTTAACAATGTCCTGGTACGTGCCAAGTTTAAAAGCTTGTCATGCGGAAGTGTGCCTTGAGCCTAGAAAGATTCATGAGATGATCTTTTTTATTGCAATATACTTAGTCTCTGTGGGAACTGGAGGGCACAAACCCTCTTTGGAGAGCTTCGGAGCTGACCAGTTTGATGATGATCACAATGAAGAAAGAAAGAAGAAAATGTCTTTTTTCAATTGGTGGAATTTTGGCCTCTGTTCTGGACTTTTGCTGGGGGTCACTGTTGTTGTTTATGTGCAAGACCATGTGAACTGGGGTGCCTCAGATATTATCATTACAGCAGTTATGGCTATCTCGCTACTTATTTTCATTATTGGAAGGCCTTTTTATCGTTACAGAACGCCCAGTGGAAGCCCCTTGACACCAATGTTGCAGGTTCTTGTTGCTGCAATCACCAAAAGAAATCTGCCTCACCCATCCAATCCTAGTCAACTCTATGAGGGTTCAAAAGCACAAAAGGCCCAGGGGAGGCTTTTGTGCCACACTGACAAGCTCAAGTGAGCAAGTTTTTAATTTGTTCATTCTAATAAATGACTTTAGTATTAATTTAAGAGTAAGACTTCATAATATTCTAATGGCTTTCAGGTTTCTTGACAAAGCTGCTATTGTTGAAGACAATGAAACTTCAGTTGAGAAGCAAAGTCCCTGGAAACTTGCAACGGTTACCAAAGTTGAGGAAATGAAGCTCCTACTTAATATGATCCCCATATGGCTGGCTACCTTACCATTTGGAATTTGTGTAGCACAAGCATCCACATTCTTCATCAAACAAGGTACCACTATGAACCGAAAGATCAGTGATGGATTCATGATCCCTCCAGCCTCAATATTCGCTCTGGCTGCCATTGGAATGATCATATCTGTCACCGTTTATGAGAAAATCCTGGTTCCCATATTAAGAAGGGCTACAGAAAACGAGCGAGGCATAAAAATCCTCCAGAGGATTGGCATTGGAATGCTTTTCTCAATTGCTACAATGGTAGTTGCAGCCTTGGTTGAGAGGAAGAGACTTGCTGCTGTAGAAAAGGATCCGAAATTCGGTTCATTGTCCATGAGTGTGTTCTGGTTGGCTCCACAGTTTGTTATTATTGGTGTTGGCGATGGGTTTACTTTGGTAGGCTTGCAAGAGTACTTCTATGACGAAGTTCCTGATTCCATGAGAAGTTTAGGCATTGCATTCTATCTTAGTGTAATTGGAGCAGGAAACTTCCTCAGTAGTCTCTTAATAACATTTCTTGATCAGATTACAGAGAAAAACGGGAAAAGTTGGTTTGGTAAAGATTTAAACAGCAGCCGCATAGACAATTTCTACTGGCTATTAGCAGGAATGACCACAGTGAACTTGTTCTTCTATGTGTTCTTGGCCAAACGATATTCGTACAAAAACGTTCAGAGGAGTAGGGCTGTGGCTGATTGCTATGAAGGTGATAGATCTATGGCAGTGGTTTGATGTGTATGTCTTTTATACCAATAAAAATGCTGCTAGTGTATTTATAAGTATGGTTTAAATAATTTAGTATTCAATTCAAGAGGTATTTAAATGTTGTATTTGTAACAGATATTAATGCTTCATCAAGTGCTTGCCATTGTGTTTCAGTTTTTTTCCAAAATGGAAGCATGTATGCTCTTGTAAGTTACATGCTTAAAGGGTTAATCAAAATAAATCTATGAAGCAAATTGTATTTCCCAGTTTCTGAAAAAATTCAGATGTGTTTGTTTTAGAATTCACCCCTGAAGTTGAGACAATGATAAAAGTACTAAAATGATAAAAGTAAACTGACTGCAAAATTTCAGATGTGTTTGTTTTAGAATTCACCCCTGAAGTTGAGACAATGATAAAAGTACTAAAATGGAACCAATCCTTGGGTGCCTGGGTTCGATTCCCCTTGGTCTCTAATAGGGATAGTCACTGGAGGATTATCCAGCTGTTAACTTCAAGGTTTGAGAGACTAATTAAGATGTGTGCGAACTCACCCGAATACATCAGGTTACCAAAAAAAAATGGTACTAAAATGGACCAAGTCATTAGCAAATATGAACGAATAATGCTTTGCAGTTGAAATGCTGATATCAAAGTTACTTTCAATGAATTTGGTTAGGCCATTCTGAATTGACAACAGGGTCCCAAAAGGAATCTATTTGCAAAGTTACAAAATTTTGACGCCCTCTCTTTGATTTGGTATGCATCATGATCGTGCCACGTTGTCAACTTCTACTTGTACCATTGTGTGTTCTTGCTCTTTCTTAGTTTCACATGGCATTAAATTTTAATCAGTTTAAATGAACCTTACATCAATTTTTTGACAAAATCAGGCCCACATTTTGGCTTTTGGCTTTCGTTCTTTAGTACTTGTTTTAACATTGAAGCCACGATGTCGAATGAGTGAATTGCTAATATCACAAAAGAGATTCACCCAAGAGACCAAAACAGTATGAACCGTAAAAAAGGTGACGTTTGTTGATATTCCGATACTAAATTTGAGTGCTTTAAATAAATCATTAACATAATTGTAATTGAAATCAACGCTAACGAATTAACGCACCTCAACTAATCTCTTTAGACCCTAGAATTATCGGTTGAATAAGAGCTTCAATGGCTATTCCTATTAACAACTGAGGAGGGATTCGAACTCATGACCTCTTGAGTAATACATTCAAGAGTTCTTATCGAATCACACGACCTCCCAGGAATAGTTAATGTGTATGTCTTTATACCAATAAAAGATGCGGCTAGTAGTGTATTTATAAATATGGTTTAAGTAATTTAGTATTCAATTTAAGTGGAATTTAAGGTTGTAACACATATCAATGCTTCATCGAGTGCTTGAAGCAAATTGTGTTTCCAGTTTCTGCAAAAATACTAACTGCAACTTAGAAAATTCGGTAAACTGATTACAAAATGTAAGACTTATTTGTTTTTGAATTCACAGCTGAAGGAGAACCACAGTTATCTCTCCACTGAAGCTGAGATAATTTGTGATGACAGCAAAGTTTTTCACTAAAACCAACAGCCATTAATATTTACGAGAGCATATTCTGATAATAAATCGATAAATGTCGTACATGAAACTGCATAAAAGGCTTTGGTGTAGTGCAGATTGAGCACTACAACTTCGTCTAAAATTACCTAAAATTGAAGTAGTAAAATGAACCAAGTCATGAGCAAGTATAATCGAATATTTGGTATGTAGTTGAAATGCTGATATCAATGTAACTTTAGTGACAACAGGAATCTATTTGCAAAGTTAAATGGAATTAAATGTTCCTCAGTTTAAATGAACTTTTTATCAGTCTTTTGACTAAATCGGGCCCAGTTTTTGGGTTTTAAAAAACAAAATACTCCAAGGAACATACCCATTCCTCAAAAGAGTAAAAGACTTTTTCCCACCCAAGGTTTGCCTAAATGACACTTTCCCATGCAAAGTTAATATTCTGTTATTATCCAAAACCAATTCCAACGGCAAAAATTCTCTTCGTCACCACCATTTGAACCTCCGATCTCCTCTCTACAAAACCCCTCTCACTTCGACACTTGATTTCTCACTGATTACTGGTCAATGCAAAGTTAGGGTGCCTTGTTCTTAGATGATTTTCGACTGATTCCAGTAGTGAATATTCAATCGATCACCGTCATTCAATCCACCGGCCTTCACTCAACAAAAACTCTCTTACCCTGACTCCTAGTAAATCACCAAATGCAGACTGAGAAAGTAAAGTGTATTTTGGGTATTAACGGAATATAAACATTGGGTAGAAATGTTGTATTTTGAAATTTTTTGGATGGTAAAATGTCATTATGCCAAACCTTGGGTGGGAAAAAGTCGTTTAACAAAACTTAAACTAGAATGAAAAATTGTATTCTCAATATTTGTTTTTAGTTTTGATATTGAAGCCATGATGTAGAATGAGTGATTTGGTACAATAAAGCTCAAACTTATATCCATCATTAGCATTCTTATCAACCAACTTAATTATCTCATTGGAGGACTGAAACTGTTACCTAAAAGTTGTTTTTAAATTATCTAAGATATAGCCTTCAATTATATCACCCACAACCACAAGTAACTGCATGATAAATTATGCAAAATTATAATCCCATGTATAATTTAAAAAACGATAAACCATTCTCATAAGAGATACCCTTATCAACACTTACACACCTATGAAGCTTCTATTTACTCTTTAATTCCTTCTTTATTAATACGAAATTAATAAATTTTAACCCACTAAATGTACCCATCGTGCCACACTTGGCACGCCCTGATTCACTACAAAAGCCATGTAATAACCAGGGGGAGCAACTGCCCCGTTCGGAGGCGCTGTGCACCCCACCCTATACCTCCCACTTTCATCCGGTACAGATGGAGTAACGGTCAGTTTGACTAATCTTTGGCCTTGTGAAAATGAATGCGTTGAAAAAGGTGGATTTCCCAAATTGACCTCCAGAATCCCCACCACTGGCAACGGAACCGATACAAACACATTAAAAGCCTCACCATAACGTACCGTTTCGGGAATTTCCTCAATTACGGGTCGGATATTTGCCCGATCCGGTGATAAATACTCGGGCGAAAATGCTTCGATTCGCAATTCTGTTGGAAACTCCGCATTAAATTTATAGAAATAATGTGGGTTACTTCCAGCTATTAATACCCGCCCGTCCGGTACCAAGTTAGCAGTAGAGTGGTACAATCTGGGCACGGTACCCGGGTTCAAAGTCATGAACCGTAATCCATGTGGTTGGTCGGGTCGATAAAGAAGCGGAAACAAACATGGATTGGATGCCATTTCAAACCCTTGAGTCCCAGCTTGAGCTCCATTTATGATCAAAACCTCCCCGGTTGGAAGCATTACCATATCACCCATGATCCGCCCGAATGGCATATCCTCCATTTCCCAACCCGGTTCATCCGACGTGGCAATTATTCGCCCACAACTACCGTGCGCAGGGGTGTCGGTGCTTCTCTCAATAAATGCGCCATACTGGGCCCCGCCACAGATGACAATCACAGCCGTCGAGAAGTCTCCTTCGAGAGCCAACATCGCAGAGGATCCCGCCGATGGATAATTTCGTGGGCCACCGTCTAACGGTGGATAATTTTTTATTATTTTATTAGTCTCGTGATCGTACAGGACTGCCTTGTTGTTGGCGAAGATAAAAAGGTGACTGTTGGGAAGAAGATGAACGTAAGGGTACAAATTATCCATCTGATTATCCTCCACGTCAGCGAGAAACGGAAAGAAAACAGCGCCTTTTCTCGGCGGATAATACTCTACAGTATTACTTCCTTTACCTCCAACAACTATCACCGTACCGTCCGGTAATATTTGGTTTGTAGCGTACCACCTACCATGAACTAACTCAACGTCCTGCAGTTCCACCCAATCACACAGCCCGTTTGCTTCACACGGGCTGAACTTCCGGATCTTTTTTACCCCGTCCAAATCGCCACCGGTTTGTAACAGAGTTCCGTCGGGTAGAAACTGACCGGATGAGCACCAAGTGTCGGTGAGGATCATTAAGGGGCGAATTCGGTTGGTTTGAAGATCGAGAACGGCAGAGTGAGCATAGCAATCGCGTTTAAGAATGGGGTCGTCTTTGTCAAAACGACAGCGGCCTTTGGGTAGCATTTTGCGTGATGGTCCGATGTTGGTCCGGTCTAAAAGAACCACCGTGTTGAAGCGGGTTACAGATGTGTGCATAGAGGATATACCTGCGTCAGGTACCAGAAGCTCCCACGTGCCGGGGAGTTCTGCATGTGAATGCTGAATGTACTGTACGATCACCCAAACAAAGACGAAGAGACGAGACCATTTGGAAGAACAAAGAAAATCCATTAGAGAGAGTAGGGCCAACGAAGAGTGGAGGGATGGGGTTTACTAATTACTACCACTTAAAGCAGTAGATAAAAAGAAAGTGGAGTTGAGTGTATGATAGAAAGAATACGTAAGTTAAATATTATCCGTTGGTGTCTGATCAAATGTATAAAATGATTTTGTATTTAAAGAGAAGCAGCAACGGTAGTATATAGGTGGGTCCAGGACCCAATTAAGTGTCGGCTTCTAGAGCTAGCTTGAAAATCGACACGAACGTTGGAAAAGAAAGCTGCCCATTTAGAGTTTGTGTAGTATACGAAGATGGGTAACGTAAGGAGAAAGAGGGCCACCGGCCACCATGTGAAGGTTTTATAATGTATTTCTGTTAACGAGGAAGACAGTAGGCAGTAGTAGCATTAGTATGACAGTGATCATTTGAGAAGTAGAAACCTTCCTAATTTCTTACTTTAGTGCTGCTTGCCTTTGAAGCTAACGTTTAATTCTGTTAAGTATGGGAAATTACATCAGCCATGACCCATATCTTCCTTCGGATAGACATTTGAAATTTACCATTTAGTTTCAAAGATGGCATTAAATCCTTTATGAATAAAGAAATTTTAAATGATCATCAGTTACCGTTTGCCCTATCATCCACATAAATTGCCATAATTGTTTAGAAGAATTTGAACTTTTCTTCTTCAAATTGTTTCCATATCCCTCCACGGCTCTTTTTTTTTCTTTTATTATTATTTGTTGATACTTGATTTTGACGCTAACTAATTGCACGTGGGAAATATTGAACGAACTCAAAGATCTCACGTGTAAATGATGGTATTGGATTGAGTAAGAGATGAAGGACAATGTTTAAAGTGGTTCGGATGCTTAAATGATCAAATCCTATGTCCACTGATATTGTATTAAAGGGTGAAGTCAGGTCGCATTCAACTAGCTGATTTATAGCTTAAAAAATACAATAGGGAGTAAGAAAATGTATGCTATTTCAAAGGAAAATAAACTAATCCCACAAACGGGAGAGGAGCTCTCTATTTATAGTAGGATGAATTGAGGTAATGATTACTAAATCTGTGAGTAGGGCAGATGTCGTGCAAATCCTTCTCAGTGTCCCATTGCTCACCTGTCCGAGTGATTTTCTCGACTTGTGCAGGGATTGGACATGCGGACCGTTTCCAGCCTTTCGCCAATCTGGCGCATACCCACTGCACTGGCAGGAGCATACCACTCACGTCAACATGCAACGTGACTGTGTCTAAATGATTGTAGAAACTGCCTAAACTCTGACCGTCCATACTGATAAGACTTGGCGTCAACTCTACTTTTCTAGGCATAACATTTGTTATGTTGTTACGTCCTTGCCTTCTTGGTGTATTATTTTGCATATATTAGCCAGCTCAAATTTGTCGGACCAATGATCAAGAAGACATAAACTTTCAAACTCATAGTAGCTGTCCCAGTGCTTTGATTCCCTTTATTTAACTCTAACCCGTTTATAAAGTATTTTGCCAACGTATGCAACTACATTATCATTGAAAAGTTCATATATATATATATATGAATTTTCACTTAAATTATTGATATTATTTTCTTAAAACAAACAAGGATACCCACATGCCGAAGATCACCTTATCTCTTCAACCAAATGTACAAATGGCTGAGTCTGGGTTGAGGCCATAGCAATAGTAGGCGGTCTCTTATTTCCACCACTAATTTAAGAGTTAACAACTTTTTCTCACCTAAATATTGGTTTAATAACATTTCTCATCCATAGATTTTTAAAATACTATTTTACTATCTAAATTTATATTCCGTTTTTTATTCTGGCATTGTTACGACCTCACACTACCACCATTTTTTCTCCAATCATCACTCATGAAAACCCCTCAAACCTTACTCATGTCGAGCCCAACAATCGTCGACAATCGAACGATTAGGGTTTGCACAGATTAATTTCAACCACCAAAGTCCAACATTCTACCACCAAATGAGTCATAAGTCTCCCCTCTTTAAAAACCCCAATAGTCTGGACCAAGTTTACTCTTTGTTCACCGACGGAATATAAATTTGAGTAGTAAAATGATATTTTAAAAGTTTGTAAGTGAGAAATGTCATTAAACCATTATTTGGGTGAGAAAAAGTCATTAACTCCTAATTTAACCTTAAAAAAGTTGGACAAATGACAATCAAGAAATTGCTTTAAATGATTGTACGATGATAAGAAAATCTATATTTTGAATTTGAACACTTAAGTGAGACTCTTTTCATATATATAAAAACATCATTTTGGTGAACCTTTAAGCATACTTTTCGGATAATAATATAATACAATACTGAAAAGTTCAGCAAATATCGAATACGTAGTGGGAAAGCCAAATTGAGAGACAAAGAGCTTAACAGAAGATGCTTTAAATGAGAAGAGTAGTGTGCTTTAGCTGGAATCATATACTTTGTGTTGAGGGAACATGGTTTTGCAGGTACAAAAGTAAATAATGTCCTAAAGCTAATAAAAGAAAAAGAAAAGTAATATAGGCCTAACTGACTCCACTCACTGCCCTAACCGGCACTAGTTAACAGCCATAATACACAAGAGTGGGGCTATTAACAACCTAATAATGGATTAAAGAAATTTCATTTATTAAGATGTGTCATTTCAAAGTTTCAAAATCAAATTTTTTTTTTCTTATGCCACTTCGTAAATCTTATAAATATCTTTTATCCTAATTTATTTATATTAAAAGAGTTAACTTTTGTACATAATTAAATTGAAAAATCAACCATAAGCTGTGGTCTAACTGGTAATTGGACTCCCAATGGGTAAAATTTACCTACAATGTCAGAGATTCAAATCTTACTAGAAGAAGCTTGTAACAAGGGACATTTACCTGAACTTGATCGAGAATTAGTCTCGTGCCTCAAATTATAAAATTTTATAATTAAAAACTTGTAATTTTGTATTGCCTGCAAATAATTTTAGCAATTTAACATAAATTTATTAAAAAATAAGAAATTTTTTAATCCATTAGTGGAGTATCTATCAATAGACTCACTCAATGCCAATGAAGTAACATCGGGCCTGCAGGAGAAGCTGTGGCCTTATTCTATGACCCAAATTGAAGATTTTGCAGCGAAGTTCGTGTACATACACAAGCCATAACCTCCACAAAAGCTTAGGGTTGTTTGAACATGAAAGTTCAAAGTACACTGACTTTTGTCAGCCTATCTTCAAGACTTTAACAATCACTTCATTCGAGTATTGTATTTATTCTAAAGAGGTTCTGATCTTGGCTTAGCTAGAGGCAGAGAAACTTCAGCACCACTAAGAGCTGCCACCCGGTCTGCCAAAAGCCAATTCGAAGAAACAGCCTTAGTTTGTCTTTTTAGTTTCTTGGCTACAAACACAACACCATTAATATTCCTCATGAAAGTTGGCCCCTCGGTTGCAAGGCAGGGCAAACCCATCAACAAAAATGCCACCGTTAGAAATTGATTCTCTTCAGGTGCCTCCTTCGTTACTGACACTGGCCACTCTACCCCCGCAAATTCCAGGAGCCCCATTGAATTAGACCCTACTGCCTGCCACACAGATCAGTGGCTAGCTTTTGGCCACGTCTATTGCAACTTAAGACTGAAGGAATTGAGTTTAAGCTAGGGACACCGATAAATCTGCACCGAAAATATGTACAGGCCTACGTGTAATACGACTCTGAAGTTTTTTATAATTTTTTTCTAGTGAACGGCCGTCCATCAAATTTGGACGATCGTTCACTCACATGGACGCCCGTCTATATTATATGGACGGACGTCCATATATAAGGGACGGGCGTCCCCATTTAAAGGACGCCCGTCCCTCATTAAAATACAATAAAAAAAACTTATAAACATTAGAGACGGCCGTTCATCCATTATGGACGATCGTTCCTTTGTTTTGGACGGGCGTCCGCAAATAAGGGACGCCCGTCCTTAATCAAAATATAAAAAAAATAAAAATAAAAACTTTGGGACGGCCGTCCATAAATTTTGGACGACCGTCCTTGCGTTTAAGGCATCCATTAGAAATGGACGCCCGTCCATACTTTAAAAAAAAAAAAAAAAAAAAAAAAAAAAAAAAAAATTAAACCTCTTCTTCTTCATCTTCTAAACCACTTGCAGTCCTCTTCTAAACCAGCTTCGTCTTCTAAGCTATTGATTTTACACGCAAGGTGAAAAAGGTTAAGCTCAAGGTTGGTGGTGTTACACGCACTATACAGGCCAACTCCACAGCCAATGGCGTGGCAGGGGGTGGGTCTTCTAAGAATTCCCAGTCCCCAGATGACTCCAGACCAAGGCAGAAGCAGAATCTTCAGGTATACTGTTGCTTCTTGTCAGCTCAGTTCTGTGAAATTTGGTAGCCTCATTCTCGTATGTATTAGGTTCGATTTCACTTGAATATTTGGTCTGTTTCACTTACGTGAGTATCACTTGCCTTAACTTTGTTCATATGTGTCTAAATGGTTAGAGCATCCAAATGTGAAATTTTTTCTTTTTCTTTTTTAAGCATTTCCAGCTTTATATAGTTGGATAGAGAATTAAATTTTAATTGTTTGGAAGGATATCTTCAGTGTTAATGGGGTTTTTCATACCTTAATAAGTATTCACTGAATTATGTTTGGAATCCTGTGCAATCTTCTCATTTTAATGTTTCTATCGCAGGGAATTTCTGATGATAGCCTTTCCCCTCTAGATAAGAGGTCTGGCCTTCAAGGGATCCCTTGGAAGGATTTCTCAAGAGTTCGTTTTAGTTTGGGGAAGGAGGATCAATTGACGGGGAAGAGCACTGGAAAGAATTCCTTTGGGAAAAAAGGAGATCACTCTGGCGCTGTTCGTAAGAGCAAGCGAGTATCTAAGAGGCGTGCGGTGGATGGAGAATTTGATGATGATGAGGATGACGAGATTCGATACCTGGAGAAACTTAAAACTTCAAAGGTTACTTCAGGATATAAAGATGATGATGAAGAATTAGGCAAAAAAACATGGAAGGGACGGGCGTCCATTAGCAATGGACACCCGTCCAAACGTTTTTTTTTTTTTTTTTTTTAAGTATGGACGGGTGTT